CTGACACATGCACACAGCACACACCCACCTGAGGTATTTCCACTTCTTTCGGAAAATGAACAAAATAACTACAGGTGGCAGATTACATCCAGGAGAATGATGGAAGTAGAACATTTCTGCATTTGATCATCTATTGGCACAGTTTACTCAACAACCTTACCAAATGTGCAAGCAATGTTGGACTTCATCAGACACAGGCTGTAAAATAGAGCATGTCACATGGTGCAGTGAGAAGATGCACAGGTCAGAAGAGAGATGAACGATTGTCAGATGTGCATCAGGTAAGGATGAATCAACTGGGCTTTCCAGATGCCTATAGATGCAGAATCTAAATGTTAGTTTTCTAAGTTACTAGATAGAAAATGCTTTCCACTTGCCAAACAAATTAAGAATCATGTAAATGATCTATTGTGACATACACAAAGACCCCTGAGAAGCACAGAGATGCAATTTAGCTTGCAAATGGGACTTTCCTAACAATGTGTAATGCCCCACAAAGAAGTTAAGCAGCAACATGTGTGCTCTGTTGATCTTGTGCATTTTGTCAATATATTCAAATTGTTTTTCCAAGCTTAAATGAAACAATCACTTTCCCCTCTGAGTTAGTCGTGGGGCTGTGTGTGTGTACTGGCCATGGGCGGTTAATGGCATCACTCCTACATAATGACACCCATCTGGTGTACAGCTCCCTCGGGTCAGTGACGCAGGAGGAACACCACTGAGGATCTGAGTACATCACCAATAGGTGGCAGCCAGTTAGGACTATTGATTACGATTACACAACTGCCCCCCAGGCTGCTGCATACACTGTATACACCAACTAAACATTTCCCAACACCATCGGTTTGGTGTATTGCCATCAGCTGATACATTTACATACACATGCAGCTGCTTGATGAGGACTGGTTGAAAACACAAATCACAACTCCTTCTTCTCGTGACATTTTCTGGTCCAACACAAAATTAAGTTTGAAAGGTGAGTGTCCTGGATGGGCATCAGATGGTATACACATTCAGAGCTGATGGCAGCCATCATAGAGCTTATAGTGTTCCCAGCATGCCTCGAGTGTGGGTAAACAGAAGGATGGCTCAGCTGAGGGGCTCCGGCCTAACCTCTCTTCTCTCCACTCCAACAATAAACAAAGACGCTCAGGCTGGAGTGTGTCTGAAACGTACAAACTGCAGGGAGAAGAAGAGAGCAACGCTGACCCCTAAACAGAGTTAAGGAGTTTATATGTGATCTGTACTTTACATTATATAGTATAACCTAAATGTATTGTTCATACACTTTGAAAGAACAAATAATTGTTTGTCTGAAGCAGAAAACAATGAGAATAAGTGACAGCAGCTACAATCCCCTCTTTATGTCCGTTGAACAGATCGCTCTTTCCCTGCTGCGGAATTTGCATGTTTCATGGAGGAATTAATAATGAGCTGTATGGACAGCCGTCTTGTGTGCATCCGCATTTTTGTCCCACTGACAAGCTTCAGCAGGCACGTGAGCTCTGCAACACATATGTTCCTCCATACAGCTCAGGAATCCAAGTGCCCTGAGGAGTGGTCAGAAGTCAGGGAATTTAAGGTTTCTGTTTGATAAGTATCAGAATGGAAGGATTAGTGAATGGACCAATGAGAGCCAGATTGAAGAGTGCCTGGTGTGGTACCTCTGCAGGAGATATTTCTGTGCAAATGTTCTGGTGAAAAAAAATAATTCAAGGGACAATTTAGAAAAGCAAAAAGTGCACAAACACAGATAGAAAGAAACAACATAGAGACAAAGCAAATGCAACTGGACATACAATAATAACAAGACACAAAATTATGAAAAGATGCTAAATATTTCTAAAGATATGCAAAAGAACCACCAAAAAAAACTATAAACAAGAAATCATAAGAGGAGAGAAATCAGCCAACCAAAGACGCAAAAACAACCGAAGAAATAAAGGACACAAAATGATGACCCAGAGAGGCAAAATGAACACAAAATGGACACAAAAAAGTAAAAAAGGTCAGTCTGGGTGTCTTCCTTGTACGTAGAAAAGATAGTACGCCCTTTACATGTTTGTGTTCAGTGCCCATTTTCTCACAAATTTCAATCTACAAGAACTCACAAGCCACAAAACATTTATTTTATAAAAGTTTATCAACTTTTTTTCGTTTAATCCAAATTGATGCACTAAAAAGGCCAATGAGAGTATTAGTTCAGGAGAGTTGGCTTTGGACTAGAACCAGGGCGTTAAACACGAGTCCTAAATATCTCGTCAAAGCTGCCCGACTTATCTCAAAACTTTTCGACCCATCCCTAAACAGTTTGGCTTGTCAATTTGTCAAAAAGTGACCTTTTGAAAACCAATACAAAAACACAAGTCTCAGTGAAAAACTCAAAGTCAGTTGAGTCCTCCTTAAATACTATGATTTCCCAACATGCATACTTCCACTATCCTCCCTCAGGCTTCTCTGGCAGAGCACCAGAGTGAAAATTAATAAATAATATGAAGGTGTGGTTGGATGTCTGGGATCCTGACTCAGGATTCCATTTCCCTGACAGAGAGCCTGGACGGTGTCCGTTTCAGTTACCTAGCAACTTCTTCCAGGAAAGCTGGAACAATCGGATGCAGCAGCAAACACACACACACTCGGAAACAAAACAAAAGGGCTGACTCCTTCTCCCTCCTGAGCTCGGAGGAAAGCTGATCCAGACGAGGCATGCCTCGACACACAGATGTTATTTAAAGTGGACAGTCCAATTCAGCATTATGTCACTGTCACTGGACTCTGTGTATGTGTCTGAGGCCCGAAACTGAAGCCACATGCTTTCCCTTATGAGAAGGTATTATGTCATCTCAGTGCAAACTGATGCCCTCACTGACAACAAGTACAAAACGCCTTCATCAGGCACTGATTATCTTCAGGAAAAAAGACACTTAGAACAAATGACAGTGAAGTTCTTCAAGTAGATTGTTGCATCTCAACAAAGCTCAAAAGTTTGCTGCAAAACACAAAAAGAGACAAACAGCTGTGTTTGTGTTTAGATGCAAGAGTTCACCTTAAATTAAACTAAATCTTAAAATCTCATCCTTTATCTTTCTGCCATTCATTCACTCAAAGTGACTCCCTCTGTCTCTCTGCTGCTCATATTTGTATTTCAGGTTCACACAATTCAAACAATCCCATGTGCTTCCATCCAGCTGATCCAAACAGGTAAATATTAAAGTTAAAGATTCAAAGCTAAAAATAAATGCCAGGTTACATGTTCTATACAAACTACTATCAAATAAAAGCATATTAATTTGCTGATGTGCAATTTGAAACATCCCCCTTATTCCTTCTCTCTGTCACAGAAGCACATCTTCATTCATCAGCTCTGAATCACTCACCCACTCTCTTTCTCACTTCACTAGTAAAATGACTTTTCGGTTTTTCACCCAAAGTGCCCACACGTGCTCCCACCCAGCTGATCTCGAGTCATTTGAAAATATGCTTTTAGTGCGTAAAAAAACAGATCCACAAAGTTTTGACAAGACTTGATGACACTGCTCGAGGTGGTGTAAAGCAGGAGAAGTAGGTGGAAGAGGAGGATGAGAAGAAGAAGGGGGGTTTAGGTGTGTACTTACTATCAGCACGGACGTCCTCACCACCTCAGAGACGCTCTGCCTGAGTTCTGCCGCCGTGCCAGGTTTACCCAGACCCCGCGTAAACCTCCTGGTCTCCGGGTGCGCGGGAGTAGCCATCGTTGCGCACAACTTTTCATCAATCCCTGCTCAAATCCAAGAGTCTTACCAGCCAAGTTTAAGTCAAAAGCATAACCGGTACATCCGATCCTCCTTCTAGTTCGCACCACGAGTTAAAACCCTTGGTCATGTTTTGGAGAGGCTGCAGATTCACTCCCAAGTATCGATGTCATACTTTCCGCGTTTCAAAGTGTGTTGCATTATTCCGGAGCTCTGCCCTCTTTCTTTCGACTTATTGTTGTCATGATACAGTGTCCTCTTCAGGGGAGTTTCAAGCGCCAGACAGGAGGTGTATAATCTGTTTGCCTCGTCGGAGAACTCCGCCCCTTACCGGCTTAAACGCCATCCCACTGCTCTGTGTGAGTGGCTGGGGCTGGACTTTGGACAGCAACTTCATGCAGTGGGAATGACTAAATAAATATTTTCCTTTCAGCACAAAAACTCACAAAAAGTCTGGATAGCGTGTTTCTACCCCCATTGTTCCTCCTGACCCCTGAATAAACTTATTGTTTAGCTCAATGCCACACACAGAGAAACAGAAAAGAGAAACAGAGAAAGTATGGTTTATCTTTTAACAACAGATTACATTTCTCTTTCTGCTCAGACTCATATACTGAACATACAAATCAGAGGCTATCGGGAAGTAAAAACAATGACTTTTTCCTTTATTTGGTGTTTGATTTCTTTTAGTATTTCATGTTGATTTTTTTTTTTATAGACACATGGAACAATCATCTTTATTCTAAAAAAAAGTCCCATTGAAGTCTCCACACACTCATATCTGTAGAGGCTGTGTACTCTATTTAATTGTTTTGCATGTTTACTTCATGTATTTTGTTACTACTCTCGTCAAGTCAAAATAAATTATGAATATTAATTTTTTCTGATGCTTTAAAGCTAAATAAAAAACAGAAGTGTACACCCAAGCAGTTCTGGCACACGTTATGATTTATTTTATATGAATAAAGCTGATTTATTAATGTTGTTTTATATGCTGGTACATGCACATTCCTCCTTGTTGTCATGTTTTGCTAGATGCAGATTTTTTTTTTAAAGACATCGTTTTATATTTTGGCAGGGAGAACACTGCCATTATTATACACACACCTGTATGTTAAAGGCTTGATCTATGATGCCCTCTGTAGGTCACAGCTGTAAACACACTGGAGAACTGCCTTGAGGAAGACATTTGAGATCAACATCAACATTTGAAAGCAATCCTTTTGCTTCTTTGCTTCAAGGAATAAAAAAAAAAAACAGAGATACAAATCTGAGTTTGAATATGATTTTTATTGCTTTCATTTCCAAAGAGCTCTCTGTTATGCGGAAAACACGCTGCAACTCTGAGTAGAACTGAGGTTTTCCACTTCACTTGATTTACTGCTAAACGCCATCAAAATGCATATTCCATTCACTTGGTAAGAATCTGGTGTCTGTGTACAGGAGGCAGCCGGGCAGAGTGAGGGCAGCGGCACCTTGGAACTGAAAGTTTCTCTTTTGTTTCTTCACACGTATTCTTTTTAAAGCTTTCCAATCCACTCAGCTTCATAACACAGTGATTATGAACATGTCTCTGGTTTTCTCTCACAGCTGTAGAGGAACTTTAGGTCATTAAAAAAGGGTCTTAAACATATTCTTACAACAGAGTATTGACTTGAAATGGTCTTAAACTGTGATGGCAGCTACCCCTGGCCACATTGTGATCAATCCTCGGTTATGTCAATAATACAATAAAATAATTTCATAGTTTTGAACGCCTCTTTTTTTAGTGTGTGTTTAAAAACAAGAACCCATTGTGCTGGGCCAGGAACACTAATGTTAAAGGGTGGTCTGTTTAATGTGGTTTAAAATGTCATAGTTTACAGTACAGGAGACGCTCCTCAAATTCACAAAATAGCATTAAAAAGTCCAGGACATTGATATAAACAGTTTGGCACTGAAGTTGTGGGACATTGTCAAAGCAGCAGTTTGTCATGAAAAGGAAAAAAGGTTGACAAAACGTGATGACAATGCAGTGATAGTTTAAGCTTCTAAGAGAGAAATCTGGATATCTACATGAACATGATCCTGCTGTAGAAACAACCAATAACAACATGTCAAATCAGAAAGATAGGAAGTGGTTCAGACCATTAAAAAACAGTATAAAATGACATCCTTTAAAAAGAGGTTTCAGAGTTGAGAGTAGAAATGCCAAAAAATGCAGTCTCTGATGCAGTCTAAACCAGCGGACATGTCACCATTAAAGCATTAAAAAGCACCAAATGTGCATGGACACGTGTACAAATGTCCCAGATATGTGTAGAAAAGAAAAAAGCAAAGAGTCCCGGAGGACAACAGGGGCAGGTCAGAGCCACCCTAGGGAGATGGCATGTAGGAAGGAATCAATGAGCGTGGGACTCTTTGCTGTTTAGGAGGCGGGCACCACTGGATTTGAGCGTGGCACTGCGGATGACCTCCATCCACCTGCAGGCAGAGAACAAGCTTCATCAAACCTCTGACATCCAGAAAAAAGGGAATTTGAGTCAACGTGTATGCGGATGATATGGCTCTTTACCTCTCAAATGTGTATTCACTCTCTGATCTGAAGTAGTAGACGTGGGACTTGAAATGCAGTTTGAAAACGTAGTCTTTGTGAATGTTTTCAGAATCTGTCGGGATGGTGACGGAGTAACCCAGCAGAGGGAGGCTGGCCAGAGGATAGTCATCCTGAGGAAAGAGAAAACAAAGACTTGAACCTGTTTTTAAATGTATGGAGGCTTTGATGGCCAGGCCTTAGGTCATGCCCTACGTACAGAGAATCCTCCAAACCGGGTTCAAGTCCGACCTGCTCAAAATAAAGGAAAAAGCCACAAAAAACAAATCTTTAAAAAACCATTGAAATTAGTTTCTTTTGTAAATAATTACAAGAACAATATGGGATAAATAATAAAAAAAGATGATTTCAAAATTCAGCAGAGCTGAAAAAAAAAATGCAACATGACCATAAAAGGAAGATGAATCCAAAATCTTTTCTTCAGCAAAGGTGGCCAAAACTAAAAGTAAAACTTAATTCCCTGTTACACCTAAACGCCCGCCATTTAAAACCATGTTCAAGTTAATATGACAAATTGATTTCAGCTAAATCTACCGAAAAGACAAAAACATTTTTTAACTATTTATTCTGGAATAATTGCTCCTGTTAAGGAAACATTTATTATAGAACTACTTGTTAAAGTGGAGCTAAGTTCCATACTTTTAAAGAGTTAGTTAGTTTAGTCCTGTGGCTCTGAACCCAGGAGCAGGATCCCCTCAAAGGGCAACAAGATAAATCTACAGGTTGTTCATGAGGAACGGATAAGGAAAGACAAAGACAAAAAAAAAGCTAAAAAAAAAGCTGTAATGATGGGAACCCCAGGGATAACATTACCATGATGTTTTTTAATAAATAACATATGTTTTTGTTTCATTGTGAATCTAAATCTTAAGGATACCAGTAAGTGAATGTAGTATCGTTTAGTTGAGTTGAAGTTGAATAAAAGTATCACAGAATGAAAAACGCTTTTACAGAGATCTGTTGTTTCTATTTGACTTTAGTTTCTTTAACATGCTTTTTAAGTTTTACACATGCTTTTGTATTGATTTCATGTGATTTGCTTGGTTCAAGAAACTTAGCCTTACTTGTTATGGAAATGTCAAAATGGAAGTATCTCTAGCCAAAAGGCAGCCAGCTCAAATAAAACAAAACGTGAAAAACAACCTGGGAAAGCCTGTGAGCTTGTATCATAGCACACAGATTTGACATTCTGCACAGATATGTGATGCTTTTAAGTCCAGGGGAGGGTAAACACGGTTACAGCATGAGGAGAGGAATGAACGTGGGAGAGGTCAGGATGAGTTTGCAGTACAAACGGAGCGGAAAGTGAACGTTCATCACCTGATGGGATTTGTAGAAGAACAGGCTGAAGTTGGTGAAGACCACCCACAGCTTCTGCCAGCCGTTGCTGTTCTTGAACTTCCTCAGTAAGTTTCCTGACAGCTGATTCTGAAATAATCAAAAAACAAGTACTTTGAAATCCAAAACTTTACCGACTCACAAACATGATTAAGACCCTAAAAGTGCAGTTGACTTTAATGTAGAAGGATTCATCAAACTAAAGGTCAAGTCTGGTGTTATTCTAGATTTCCTTCATGTTCTCAAATGACCGTGAAAAGCCCAAAACCAACATTAGACTCAAGTCTGTGCATCCAAAGCCTCATATAGAAGATACCTTTGTACCATAGGGTTTAATTGTTGTGCACACTGTAGAACTGAGGGACATGTTCCATTATTACATGGACTGTAGTTTATCTTTAAGAATAACAAATATACCACTACATTTAAAAATATCTGCTCAAAGCTTCAACACTACTAAGTAGAGGTGAGATTACCAGAGTAACTCAATACTATACGATACATGGCCAACAATAACTGTATCACAATACAGTGCTTCTGCGAAAATTTACACATTGCAAGAGAATATGAAGATATATCACAATATCTGATTAACCCGAAGAATATATAATGCCCCAAAAAAGCTTCATCAGGATTCATGTATTTACTGTAATGTGGTGTCACTTTCTCTTCCTGTCTTCATCTTAACTTCTTTTCACTGCTGACCAACTTTACCCAGAGTGACTTCTTCTTCTTCTACTTCTTTATTTATCTCTTTGTCAACTGCTTTGGCCAATTATTTTATTTTATTTATCTTTTTATTCAACCTTTGAACCTTTATTTTACCATTGAGATCATAGAGCTCTTTTTCAAAGGAGACCTGACAAATTAACTTCTGTTTGTTTTACTCTCATTCATGTAAAGTGCCACAATAACGAGTCATGAAGTGGTGAAACGCTGAGTCAAACTGACAGGGAGAGCTGTTCAGTGAGCTGTAACTTTAAATAAATATATTGATATTTGACACCAACGATTTGATGTTTGTATCACACAAGTCAGGCTTACAAATATTGTTTTATTTATATTTTGTCCCACTTCTACTACTGACAATTTTTTTTAATAAGACTTTGAACATTAAAACCAAACATTTGTTACCTGAATTAAATTATTTAAAGATTCTCTCTCCATAGGAGCATCAAGGCTTGAGGGCAACAGACAAGGTACAGTAGTCAGAAGATATTGAGACACAATGTTGGTTTTGGACATTTCTTGGTGAGTTTTTATATTAACTAAAATATAAACTCTAACAAGTCATACATGTATTAATGTATCCCTCATGCTAATCTTCTAAATTTAAAATAAAATCAACTGAACAATTATTTTTGTTATCTTTTATGATTAAAATATAAACTTATAATGCAACTGTTCAGATACTTTATCTTGTAATTATTTCTGGTTTTGAGAATATGTATATAAGAGAGCATTCACTTATTTTCCTATGTTGAAGTAAACAACACCACAGGGCCTCTCCTGTCTGCCTGGCTCCTTTACCTCTAGACTTGTGCAGGATTCACTAAAGGAGAGACTCTGAACACGGTACCAGCAGATAACAGACAGAGGCACTGGTCCCTGGCCACTGGGGGGCCCCACTGGGGGGGCCTTATTCTCACTGACTGGACTAGGGTCCTCTACCACGGAGCAACGCACAGACGCATGGGAAAAAGAGAGAGAGAAAGAGACAGAGAGGGGAGGACAGAAACACAGACTGAGTAGGTGAAACAAAAGCATGCAGTGACAGGGAGAGACAGGAAGGCTGACGGTGTGTCCCGGCTGTGAAGAGGACGTTGTTACAACCACAGAGGAAGAGCAGAACTTAAACAGGGCTGAGAGAGCGAGATATTAAGCACATGTACATACTACCACTATCTCTCTATTTTTAAACAATCTGTGATTTCAAGTGCCAGGGTAGGAGAATTCGGGCAAAAGCACAAACAAAAAAACAGTTTTTAAGGTTAGAGAAGGACATCACAAAGGTTACTGCAAAAGAGGGAAGGAGCAGTATCCTCAGCAACAACTTTGAATACTTCAGACAAATACTTATCTAATATACATAATACTAAAAAAGTGGAAAGGAAAGTCCATAAGGCCCATTTTTTTATTTCTTTTTTTGCAGTTCATGTAGAAAAATATCTGATTAAAAATAAATAAACAAACCAGTTTAAAGGTACCACGTTGAGCTGTTTCTCTTTTTTTTTATTCCTAACATTAGAACGAGCATCAGCATCCTGTCATCTGTTTAACAACTGCTTAACTGCAAAGCCACTGCGTATTGCATCACTTGCTAGTGAGAACAAGCAGGACATCACATATTTAGATTTTATAATTCATATTATTGTCATAGTAATGTAAGCAAATAAAAATGTGTAAATGAGAGAGTACAGTAGCTCATCCTGATGAACTTACAGCATACTATTATCTGACTCTGCAGCTCTCTGTAGCTTTACTAACATGTGTAATGGCTTGAGCATGATACTGTATTTGTTCACTCTCACTGCTCTCATACATGTTTCATCCCCAGCAGGCAGCTCACAGAGGAAAAGAGGATGAGTATGAATATTCATCACAGGGTTAGAAATAAGACAAATGTTTTGTGATAATGCAGCTCAATAACTGCTCTATATGTCATTCAACATCTGTCGGCTCACAAATTCGTTGTATCAATTAAAAAGGTGATGGTAATGATAAAATACTAAATGATGATGTCACAAATGGCATTTTTAAAGTGCATTTTTTCACCTAAAGAATATTTTTTTTCATTTTCTAAATCTGATTGCATCCATATTTAATTTTAAATAATAAAAAAAGTGTTTAAAAAAAATCATAAAATGGGCCTTACAGTCTTTCCCGTTCATTTGATCAAATCATCTACAGCATTCTGTTAACCACAGTATATGTTTATATAACCACAGTTAAATATAGTTTCTATGCCAGAGTGCAGCTCATGAGGATACTGTTCCCACAGAGAGATCATAAAAGTGAGTTAAGAAACACAGCACACACTCGGACACAGAAAGAAAACAGTGAGGCAGGGGCACAAGAGGCAGGTCGGAGGTTTGAGTGCCGAGGTTTTTGGGCCGGTACCTCCACAGCTACGCTAAAGTCCACCATGGACACACTGGTGTTCCTGTGCCAGCACACGTGCACCATGGTGTTACCACGGTGAGGGGTGGGCTTGTCCAGCGAGGCGTGCGGTGCTGTTATGTCGTCCTCAGACTCCGCCTCCACCAAGGAGTCCTCAGGGCATTCTGGGAAAGTCAGGAGGTGGTTACTGCTAGATAATGAGCAGGGTGATGAGGGGGAGGAGGGTGCTCAAACACAAGATAGTGTCAGCTCATTCACAAATCATAGCACTCTTTTTATTTTAATTAAATAAAAATGTAATTTCTGAAACTCACTGTTCATCCAGTGTTTATTTCTCACTTCTTGTTGTGTTATATATTAGACTTCATATGTTCATGTGTTCACTTACTGTTGCTGTCTGTAAGGTTGCTGGAGAGAATATCAGATGAAGGCCCATTGCTGGTTTTTGCCATCTCTATCGCCCCCTGTATGTCCTCCATCCACTTCTCCATCTCCTTAAGTGAACTAAAGTAAACAAAAAAAACATACAAATGTTTAGTACTCAGCAGATCCCATCATTAGTAACAGTCAGAAAGCCTGGTGGTTTGGAGAAGTCCACTAAATAAAGTGTCACGAGCTGGATCCATGTAAGTCCAAGTGTCTCCTCATTCATTTGCTCATTGATGGAATCAGTAAACTGCAGAGAGATTCCTTTTCTGATTTGTCAAACTGAAAGAAGTGACTTAAATATGTGGTGGAATCTCTTGTCTTGTATTTGAACCTAATATCCACCCAGCAGACCAAAATGTATTGAACATTGAACATAAATGAGGTGATTTGACTCTATAAAAAAATCTGGATCAGGGGGCGCTCCATGTACAAAGGCTGTAGTTCTCCAAGCGGGCGGCCTGGGTTTGAATCCGACCAAAGCGGTACAGAAACAGCATTGTTCCTGCTGCTATCACTGAACTGAACAAGCTCTAGCCATATTTCCACAGACTCATTTATGTATTTATGTACAAAACGTGTTCATCCCAGCTGAAGAGATTATTTATTTGTGTTTATATTGATCTTATTGGTTGAGGGTTCTGTCTCCTATACGTCCTGATTGGTGGAACCTTGAACACTGTTATCATTTTCATACATTTTATTTTGTTTTATTATTATGTTTAGAAAGTTTGAAATAGTTTCCCTCTCTGTGATGTGTTGTTCCTTGTTACATCTGTCATGTCAATGTAGCTGCCTGAAAACAAATCTACCTGTGGGTACAAATAAAGTAACCTGAACCTCAACAGTCACTTGACTCCATTAAGCCTGAGAGGCAAAGACAGTCTTTAAAAGAATGGCTTTCCTCCTGAAGCATGATACTGGGAGCTACATGAATTGTTTGAAAGAGACCTAGATGAGCACACAAATATTTTTGCAGCTGAAGAAGAAGATTTCAGAGAGTGAATTAAACACTCTCTGCTTAAAGTGTTCAGTTGGCTGCATGTCTTTTTTTCATTCACTGTGAGAACTCAACTTCATCTGTTCTGAGTTGAATACAGACTCACATTTTTCTCAATAAAAAGCTCCTGACAGAAGAAAATGTGTGACCACTTTGGGTTTATTTAAAGTCAAGGTACAAGGTGTCTGTCAGCTCACAACCACTGTTCTTACCTTGCTGCCACCACCACCGACTGCCGCTCTGCAACCAGAGTGAAGGCGTGCGGCACCCCCCACTCATCCTCACTCTCTCTGATCTGAACACAGAGACACAGAAAAAACATTAGAGAGCAGCCGTATCTGGGACAGCGAGGACAGAAATAGACAGAAAGGGAGAGGACGAGGGAGGGAGAAGATGAAAAGGAAGTGAGAGAGAAGGACATGTGTAGTTAGTTGTTGTGTGTGTGTGTCAGATGCAGACAGAGCCGCTCTTCAGCTGTTTGAGGCGGCTCATTTGCTGTAATGACAAACTGGTGACAGCAGTTTGAAACACTTTGTGTTCAATGGAGGGACGCACTACTTACTGTCATGCCATTCAGAGGCAGCTGGCCGTGCACTTTGAACTGATTGGTCCCCGTCATCCCTCGACTCGTGTACAAAATAACGTCGTTGAACTGTTGCAAGGAAGACAGGGAGGGACAGAGAATCAACAGTCTGTCAAACTAAATGCCACTGGGTCGATCGTTTGTTTAAACTTCGATTTTAGCCAATAAATAAATCCAAAGAAGCACAAACAACGTGTCATAACAACAGGGACATTATTCAAACCAATGGCAGCTCACTTCTCCACTACATATACTGTACTTCCACACTAAAGCCTCCTTTAAAACAGGCATATTACTAACGTCCGCTAACACCATCTGAGGAATGTAAAGCTGGAAGGGATAAAATGATGATTATCTTTCCAATGACATCAAACAGGTAAATTAGTGACATGATGTCATTTTGAAAAAGTGAGTTTTACCAGGAAAAACATTCTTTGCTGTAGGCCTTTTCCAGACAGTTTGCTGAGACAACCTAACCTGATGAACTCCTGAGAAAAGGAAAAACAAAATTATACGTTTGCTTCTCACATTAAACAAAAACACACACATGGCGTCAGATAGATGAAAACAGTTTTTGTTCAAGTCTTTCAAGCTTTAGACCCACCCGACCAGGGACAACTAGATTGTCAACGCCAATCAAATCCTTCTTTAGCTCCAGAAGCTTCTGGAAGTTCTCCATCTTGATCAGGCTTCCCTGGAGAAGCTCCACCACCTCAGACACGTCTGCCAGAGCAGCTGCAGACCAACCAGGGGGAAGAGATTAAAGGAGATAGACCACCAGAACACCTACATGTGATTTATTGATAAACTGGCCTGAGGTCAGTACCTCTGCAGTCCCTGAAGTCCACGTGAGTGGCAGGGTAGTGTTTGCACAGACGCTCCAGGATCTGCTTGTAGTGGATGAGGCGGTGCAGAGGCCGCAGAATGAAGACATTGAGGGGGACGTAGCAGACCTTCTGCAGCTCAAAGTCCCTGCAGAGACCCTCCAACCTGCGGGACGCCCTGCACGCCTTCTCCAGCTCCAGCAGAACTTCAGACTGTCTGTGAAGGTTTGCAGACAGGGGCTGTGCAGAGAAGTTTAAAGATGGTGCACATGAATCTGTATTCTATCATTATGTTATCAGATAAACATTAAGTAGTATTCTCACCTTTAAGCCTTGTAGGTTCTTCAGCATCACATCTCCAATGCGCTGGTAGTCTCCTTTTATGTGAGCGTTGGAGCGCCCTTCCCTAAAACAAACAAAACAACAGCCACTTTTAAACTCTGAATCATTATGCAGATATTGTTGAAGTAATTGACTGAGCTACATAGAGGCACTTAGAGATAATTGATTCCTCTGATACGATTCATTATTCAGGAAAAAAATCAGTCTAAGTTTTAGTTGCACATATTTAAAAACAGGAAAAAAAAACAGATCCACCAGCAGGTGTCTCCCTTGAGTAAGACTTTCCCCATACAGTGAGCAGAAATAATGAGCTGCCATTACTGGATTCATTCAGAATCTGTATTAATATGGATCAGCATTTAGACAGTCACTGTAGGGAAACATATCCAGTCTTTAAAACTTCCTAATCTGTGACAAACAGCTTTCTAATCCTGCTCACAACAACTAAGGTTCTACATAACATTGAAATATACAAGGCTAAAGAAGAGACACATGTAGTGCTGGATGATTTGCATTCTCATTTGAATGTGGTTCTTATCAGTAGAGCTGGCTCTTCTTTTCACTCTGAGCTTTCATTTGAAGAATCACTTTGAGCTTTAATTAGAAGTAAATGATGATGACAGGCACATATAGGCTCTGAAATTAAAATGCTACTGTAAACGTCTGCAGTTAATAGCCGTAAATAATGACACGCTTTATGCTTCACTGTCTGCAAGTCTGTGTGTGTGTGTGTGTGTGTGTGTGTGTGTGTGTGTGTGTGTGTGTGTGTGTGTGTGTGTGTGTGTGTGTATATAAGATAAAGCCCAACATTGTTAAGGAGATCAGACAGCAGAAACCCACAGGCAAGAGAAGGCCGGTTGCAGCATGACTGTTGCCATGGAGACAATAGCTTCTCAGGGGCCATGTGAAGGGGCCGGGTCAGACCCCCTTTAAGACGTAATATCAATTAAACTCATAAAAAAGGAGGTTGGGATTGTGATACATTGGACTTAAAACAAAAACCAGCTCCTCATCCGTTATATGTTTCAGCCTGCAGAGATTTTTTTTTTCTCCAGTTTTGAAGTAAAAACAAAAGTCTCACCACAGTGCGAGCCTCTGCTCCACCTCCCTGAGAAAACCTGTGTGGAACTTGTGCAGCGGCTCGAAGGTGGAGAGGACGGTGTTCTTCAGGGAGTCTGGAGTGGCTTCATCCTGTCCCACAGCGCTCTGGAAAGACTGAGACACAAAAAACAAGACACAGATGCTTGAAAAACGGTTTTATAAAAATATTTAAAGAAGATATTTAGTTTTTCATGCATGGATGGTTTTAAGTTGCAACATTACACATAATTATATTAGAGATGGGACAGACCTGATCTAATATCAGTATCAGGTATGATATTGATGTAATGTACATATAGGATATCAGACTGACGGCGCCAATCCATGTTACCGATCAAGAAAGATCGTTGGGCACTTCAAACATTCTGAACTCACACAGTCTCACTTTAAAGACATCCAGACTGAGCGACAAGAAGCGACCACAAATCGTTCCCATCTTCAATCATTTTAAGGGTTAACTACAGCTCTGTGTAACCTTAGAAATGATGCCAACAACATTAAAAAAATAATAATGATGGTTAAAGACACATTGGAGACATTATCGGTATCGCAACATATGCATCGGAATCGGATCAGAACTGAAAAAAAGTGGATCAGTGCATCTCTAACTTATATCAGACACTGAATCATACTGTAAGTCGCCTTCAATCTTAGTTGCAGAACATAGACTCAGATTTATTTAGCTCAGCAGAAATGAAAGGGAAACAGTCTTTCTGTGTCAAACTCTGCACATACAGTAAATAGTTTAGCACATGAACATCTCTATTAATGTAAAGCAACAACAAAATAAACTTTATGATTGGATGGCACCTTAATGTTCTCCGGTTTGAGCTGTGGACTTCAAAATAAGAGCAAATAGCAACTACATATTTGACCCTCTGATCCAAGGAATTGAAACACAGACTCATGAAGGTGAATCTGAAACAAAGTGCTCGCTGGAATCAGCCCTTTGCAGATGAGAGGGAAACTATGATAGCCGTCTTCAAAGAGGGATACCACAGGTGTTTTTCAGAGACTGTAAAACTATTTTCCTGTTTCAAGCGACCATGAAAGAAAGTTGACTTTGATTTAAAATCTGTAAAAAGTATCAAACTGCAGTGCAATGGTTTCCTCTCTCCATGTGCTCACGTGACTCAGGTCCTGATTTTCTGGTCTTGAGCTTGTAGAGGCATGCAGTGCAGGCTTGTGGAGCTCTGATCAATGCCCTGTTTATGCAGGATACTAACACGAGCCCTTCATCTGTGTGTCTGCTGTTGTGCTCCAGTTTTGTGACGTCTCTTAAATCCTTTAATTGCTGGAGGATGAATGGAGGAATCAATAGCCAATCAGTCTTTAACACCTTCTTCCATTAAGTCAGATTGAAGTCAAACGTTGCATGTTACAGACATAGGACAGCTTTGTTTCGCTGACGTGATGGGAAAAAGAGAGAGAGAGCTTTTGGAAGCGCTCGAGAAGAAGAGCCAGCTGTTGTACTGATGACTTCACCACCGGACAGCAGCAAAATGTGAAAAGTGGGGGTAAGAAAGTGAGACAGTACACATGTAGCTGGAAAGAGTGAGCGAGTACAAGAGCCGACCCAAATATTTATGAGATGCATGAAAGGCCTCTCCAAAAATAACAAGACACAAAAAGCTACAGCCTTTTAAAAACAGAGTGATGCATTTTCTGCAGGCTTTAGAGCAGCCTCTTCCCTCTGCAACATGTTTAATATCCTGTTTATTGCTACATTTCCTTTCTGATAATGTCTAATGAAATGCTCTGTGTGCTTGTTCCCAGACGGTGAAATCCAAAGGAACAGAATGAAACAGGGAGCTGGATGTATCTCTTTAAACACAAACACAGTTTAGCATTCAAAGCCATGAGTGAGACGGATAAATGCTTTTCACAGGGTACGGGGAATGAATGAAAAAAATGAAATCTCATCTGCTAGGATATCCCTGTGTCACCGCTTGGCTCTGTGTGTTGTTGGCGGGCGCTCTGCGATGGAGCAGCTAAGCGTAATAATCAATGTTTTTTCTCCCCAGAGGACAGCACAGAGGAAAACAAACAGCGGGGCAGCGTGTTGGAGGGCAGACTCAGTGTGTTCTTACCACAGTCACCACCTCCAGGTCCTTCACATACGTCCTCTCTGTGGTCAGCAGCTCCTTGGCGATGAAGTAGGCTCGATCTGTTGGGAACCTCTGTGAAGAAAAACCAACAGAGGAGGAAGAGAGTGAGCAAAACTATGAGAAACTCCAACTTGTGTTTGGTGTTTAGTTATTTAGGCTTCCTGTCTTATCTTGTAAAGATACAAACTTTAAAATGTATTTTTTCTTTCTTGTTGATTTTTTTACGATAACAATTGATTTGGTTGATGTCAAATATTTGTTGTTTTTCTTCCTCTCTTGTTACCCTCATCTACAAACACTATTATAAAGATCTCACAGTTTAGCCTGTTATTACTTGATCACAAAATAAATAAATATAATTTATTTCACCTGTTCGAAATAAACTTCAAAATCTTAATGTAAATCTTAAAAATAAAAAAAATAAAAAAATCACTCAGGAATACTCAGGACAGGAATTCAAGGTCAACGTCTGTTTTAAATAGTAGCTTTAAGGAACAAGAAAAGATACAAAAAGCAACTCCATTAAGTTTGAACTGCTGTTTTTCTTCATGAGAAAATCACAAACCTTTCTCCGAACCTCATCTTCATCGTCCGTGCGAACGCTGCCTGCGTCGTTGAGGAGCGGGCTGGTGAGGGGGGAAGGCAGCCTGCCGTCAGGACTGTGGCTGCACAGCTCCAGTGACTTCTGACCGTTCATCATCCCGTGAGAGTTACCAGAGGACGCAGAGAGACGAGGACTGTTAGCAACCACTCCTGTACGAGGTCAATCGAAAACCCAAAAGAGGAGAGGAGAAGGAGAAGTGAATGGAGATAGATTTAAAAAGAACTTTACAGGAAACGTAATCTGTGCAAAATCTCTCTTTGAATTACTTTTCTACACTTCAAGTCTCAGACGGGTGGTATTTGGTGAATTCATCTGAAGTCATTTTTTAATCAAACGCTTTAAATGTTTCCAGCTCTTTTAATGTCAGAATGTGCTTTTCGTTTCATTTCATCTCAGAAATGAAACTCAATATCTTTAATGTGAGGACAAAAATACATTTGAAGCTGTCAACTTTTCCCATTATTGGGACTAAGCATTTAAACAACTAATGGAGAAAATGAAGGGCAGATTATTAAACAGTGAAAATCTAATTATTTGCAGCTCTACAGAAATGCCAAATTTCAAAGACACTGACATTTGATATTGATTGAACTCTCAAAGCATTCAGTTAATAATGTTCCACGGCAAAAATTTCACCAGCTAAACTTTACACACTAATAAAGTATACAGGGTCAGGAATGCGCTACATATAGCACCTCATTGCTTTAAAAAGACATTTGAACCTAAATCAGAGTTTTCTTCGGTTGCTGCCTTCAGAAAGTGAGACATCAGCCGTGACTCACTCTACAGTCCAGACAGCTCTCACAGCAGTCTTTATGCCAAGTCAATCAATACGAGAGCCGAAGCACACTGAGCAGGATGATCAAGAGAAACAGCTTACTAACAGTCATCTACACTGAACGTGTCCACTCAGCTTACTTACTATGTTTAAGCTGCAACTTGCCCACCTCTCTCTGTTGTCCTCCAGAGTGCCGATAAAAACACAACATCGCAAAACATGCAAACACGAAACAACAACAACAGCGCTACACAACTACAGAGGGGACTTCTCTCTGCACTCTATGAAGGAGAAGAAGGAATGGAAACCAACTACAGGAGGGGTATGAATGTACACACAGACATACAGCAACCAACAAACAACACAAAACTACAGGAAGAAGAAAAGGACAAACAGCACCTACTGAGGTCTCAGAAAGAAGATTCAGAAAATGTCACTTCAAAGAGGTCATCTTTATTAACTCTCTATTAACATGAATATATACATGTTTAAATGAAAATAAAGCAGCGTCAGGAGGTCAAAGCAAGGTGAGCATGAGTGAGAACATGAAGGAAAGATGTCGAGCAGAATCAACAAAAACAGAGATGAATTCATGCAGCTTTCTGGGCCTTTTCTAACACTACAGTAAATGAATAAAAGATGCCTGTGAATGTCATTTAATGTTCTGAATAAAGAGCCACATGACCGTTTTGTCATGAATATATTATAGTTGTTCTGAAAAAGTCAGCTGGTAATGAGGAAACATTTGCATTATTCAGTTAGAGTACAAATCACTTTTACACCACTTGACCTGTTGAAGTAACACAGTTTGAGTTTGGGAAACATCCTGTTTAGAAGCACTCTCTTTCAGAATTCAGTCTCTAATGATACTGCATGATTTATTTATTCCCAAAATCTGTGCTTACATCACATTTTCCAGACTGTTAAATTAAAAACTATGAAACTAAAGTAAAGTGACTTCCTGTATCATCTGATAGTACATGCAGAGAGCAGACAGGGCAGAACAGCGTGATGTGCAGAACACACCTCAGTCCTGGTTTAACACAGCATGCAGTGGAAACATAAGAGGTGGAAAAAACACACACACACATACAAGTCTCTCCTGCAGACCTGGGACACTTAAAGTCGTTTAAAGTGAAATCACCAAAGTTAAAGAAGAGCATGTCCTCTCTTCCTCAGATTGCACTATGACAGAGTTTACCTCCAGGTGTATGGGAGAGCTTTGTGCACCAGAGAGGGTTCTCGTGCTGCAGTGATCCAGTCATTCCCACAAATAAACAAGCGTCTGTTTGATTTAATGGTGCTGTACTAATCTCATTCATGCAGCTTTGAACATTTTGTCACTGATATATTTTGGATTTTCAGGAGCATATGCATGGCCAAACAGTTGTTGCAAATGCTTTGTGCAACTATAAGCTGCATAAACAAGAAGAATGCTCCGCCCCCATTTTCCAGTTAATACTCATTCTGTATCCATCTGACGTTTTCAAAGTTTTTTCTTTCTATTTCTAGTTTCTCTGATAAGCCTAATTTAACTTTCAGCTACAGGGGTGCCTGCTTTTGTAATATTTTATTTTAAGTTTTATTTTTGGGGCTTGTTATAAATGCTTTTATTTGAGAGATAGGAAAGTGGAGAGAGAGAGAGTTGGGAAAGTCGGGAAAGAAGCCACAGGTCAGATTCAAACCCCGGCAGCTCGCTTGGAGGACTATAACCTCTGTACACGGGGCGCGCACTAACCACTGCGCTACTGGTACCACCTATTTTGTAATTACATTGTTACATTCATGTTTAATCAGCAAAGATTTGGGCCAATACTCATGTTGAAATATCAAATAATCCAAAATCTAAAACTGATCTTGACTTAAACAACTAATAAAAACCCACACATGGGGCGCTGGTGGCATGGTGGTTAGTGCGTACGCCCCATGGGTGGGGGCTGTGGTCCTCCAGGCGGGCGGCCCGCCCAGGTTCAAATCCAGCCTGTGGCTCCTTTCCCACATGTCATTCCCCATTCTCTCTCTCCCTGATTTCTGGCTCAGTCCACTGTCCTATCTCTCCTTTGGGGGCACAAAAGGCCCAAAAATGAATGTTAAAATATAATACAAAATAAAAACCCATACATACCACATATAAAGCTATAACGTTTACAGACATACTGTATATATGCTACCTGAAATCAATGTTAAAAGTGTTTGTGAGCACTTTGAAGCAGCAGTCGACGGTGATGGACGAGCCGAGGGACTCTGTGCTTTGAGGTGTTGCCCTTAATCTGCCTTTCACACATTCAGTACTCACACATAACGTGTTACTCTAACCTGCTTCTATTTTCCTACATATTCCCAAGCTCCTGTCATCTTTAGCCTGATTTTCTTTTTTCTTGCTCAGGAATAAATAAACTCTGAGCAGGATCACTGCAGAGGCGGGAACCCAGAAAGCGGTAATCTTTCCACCACACAGACTGTCGTGAGTGACAGAACAGGTTTACATGCACCTTGAAAAAAACAAAAACAAAAAAACAGAAAATAAAATAAATGAAAAGTTTCATGCTCGACAGAACAGTGGATAAAGAAACAGACTTTTTCAATGAACACAAATAGAAAAACACAAAGACAAAAGTGCAGAAGAAAACTGTAAAAGTGCGGTGCCATTTGTGAAGATGATTGAAAAACTCGGCAAACTGGGGAAACTTCCACAACACAGCGGTTGGAGCTTGACACCAAATTAAAAGCCAGAGATACTGGAGCAGGAGTCGAGAGCAGATGGAAGGCATCAATAGTGAACAAGAGAGAGTGGATAGAATACCACCGCAACAGACTTTTCACCTCAGCCAGACCAAAACGCTGCTGCTCCTTCTAATGCAGTCAGACTATTTATTTACAAAAATACTCTAAGACATGTTGAATCCCTCATTTGTTATAAACATGACATGTTTCTGTGTCAGGTAGCAAAGAGCTAAACAAACTGTAAACAATATTTAAACACCAATTAGATGTTCAAATCCATATTTGCAGAGCAGTTATGAGTTTCCACTGCAACGCCAAATACTTCAGACACTATCACTACGTCTCTCATGACAATCGAGTGGAAGACGCAGCATCAGACAAGGCGACAGGATTATTCCAAATGCCTACAATGTCAACAATCGCTGCCACAAATATCAGTCCACAGATCCTTCTGGGCTGAACGAGACTAGCCCTGTACTGTACAACTCAGTTAATATAATTAAAAAATAACAGAAATATCCACAATGACATGATATGTGTATTTCCATCATATACAGTAAGGCAGCGGAGACACAGAAGCTCAACCAAGATTTCATAATTTCTGTTCTAAATATCTGATTTGTGTAAAAAAAAGTGATTAAAAAGTGCAATTTCTTGAAGCGTTCCAACATGAACAGAGCCTCTTATTCTCTGTACCTTGTTAAATCCTAACATGGCACTTGTGTATTTCTGTAAGGAATTCTTAAAACGACGGGGAGGCTGGAGTTCCCTCCTTTCTGCACCCCTCCATGAAAGATGCTGAGTTCAAAACGTGCATCTAATAGTTTAAGATTACTGTGAACATGGAGTTCTCAGTCGCTCTCTGATATAATCTATGACCCACACAACACAGCTTTTCTAACTCCATCTGGACCCAAACTAAACCCTTTAAACTCTCGGGTGTGTGGGAGGGGGGGGGGGGGTGTTCTGTGCGCTAACAGCTGAAAATCTGTGCACCCTCCTCATCACTGAAGGCCTGGCACCCGTCCTCATCTGCCTCCTCATCCAGCTGCAGGCTGCCAAAGGAAAACTTGTTCCTGGGAATAGGAGAACTAGAGTTAGCCTCCACCTGGTTACCAAACATCAGGGGGCTGCTGCAGGTCCCCCTGTGAGTCTCCACCTCAGACTCATCAGACTCTGAACCACTCGTAGTGGAGCAGTCGTTCATCTGAACCCCTCCCATCTGTGGGACACCTGCCTGCCTCAACCGCTTGTGTCCCAGACTGGACCTGGGCCTGCCCGGTGCCGAGAGGCCATTAGCCACCATGCGGCGCTCTAGAGCAGCCATGCGCTCAGCCCGGGACAGGACGGGGCGTGAGTCCTGCCCTGAGGAGGACGTCCCCTGGTTGGGGTTTGCATCCAGGTGGTGTCTCACTTTGTGGCTTTTGTGTGAGCGGGGGGAGCGACTTGTGATAGGGGAATATCTGCCCTCTTCACATGGAGCGGGAGCAGAGCTGTAGCCGTTCTGCTCGGCGTAACTGGGGGGGTTTGACTGATGTGGGGGGTCCATGGGGGGACTGGGGACAACACTCCTTGGAGCCACATTGTGGACTGTCAGGGGGCTGCTGCAGTGCCTCTCTCTAAAATGAGCAGGGTCCAACAGAGCACTGTGGACAGGACTTCTGTTAACTTTCTGGTATGACTGGTTGGGAGACTCACTAAAGTCGTGGCTCATGTTGAGGGATTGTCTAGAAGAAGGGGACTCTCTGTACCGCATCCTACTCAGAAAGTGTTCCTGTTGGACCTGCAGAGGCCCGTTTATGCTCCCTGTTGCAGAACCCCGTCGGAGCGTGGCCTGCTCTCTGTGATTCATTCTTAAAGCCTGGTCCCTGCCCAGGCTGCATTCACTATCTACATCCTTACAGTCAATATACGGAATGGAAGAGTTGCTGCCTCGAGACGGACTAAAAGCTGGACCTGTACTCAGATGATCCGGCTGAGTCTGTCGCGTCGAGCCTGTTCTCTCCTCCGTCCGGGACGCAGACCCCGTTCTGTCTCTTTCGTTGTGGCCGTTCCTCTGGTGAGCCGGGCTTAACCTTGTAGTCCGTGAAGCTGAGGGGTCTTCTGCAGTCACTAATGCTGACTCTGTCCAATGACGCCTATGAGGAGAGTCTACCCTGGGAGCCCCATGCTGACAGAAAGAGACACATAATGAGTATGTTTTATTCCTGACCATGAAGGATTTGATTAGTGATACTACCTTAAAGGCTTTATATGTGATTGTTCACACTTAAATGTAATATAAATCAAGTATCTCCTCTGAAAATAACTCTGTGAGTCATGACTGTCTACAATGGGTGTAACACCGAGTCCCACTGTCTGTGATGTTTTCAGAGTCCTATCTTCAGTTTGTTTACATTGCCGGGACGGCCGGCTGACTCCTCCCCTCGTGTATAAAAGTTGTTTAATTGAGGGACTAGAGAAAAGAAGAATAACATACTGTACTCACTGCTTAACTGTGTTTCTAGATCACGCTCATTTCAGGTAAATTTACATGTAGTGTGAAGATACCAGCATAATAAAGATCACTAGCATTAGCATGCTAACACAACAATGCAGCGTGAGTTGTTTTGGTTTCATGCTGGTGCTCAAGGGCGACATCTGCTGGATCAAAAAATCACATATAAAGCCTTAGTTAACTCTGCCTGATGCAGAGAACATAAGAAGCTTTTTTTCATATTTTAAAAAGTGAATATTCCTGCCTTCATTTTAAGTGATCAAGAGTTTGTGATATAAATATAATACATGTAGTAATACTGCTAAACAATGTACAAATGACTGTAAGTTAGACTAGCCAAAAAAAATGTAGTAGTTCAAAGCACCAAAAACGTGACTTGGTCCAATGGGGAGGCAACCACTTGTGAATAGATCTGGAACAGGTGGTGTTCTTTTAAATGAATGAATTAAGCATCACCACAAATTAGGATGTGCCAATATACTGAATATCCTAACAGCTATTCAAATTCAGTTCAGTTCAATTCAAATAACTTGATTTATCCGTTAGGAACTTCAGTCGTGTAAAAAGATATCAGTGTGCACCTCACAAAGACAGCACAGCACAAAAACAAATGATATGTAGGACTGATGGAAATAGACAGAGACACTTTTCTGTAACTAGCTCTCTGTATTAAAAACAAATTAATCAGTGATACATATAGTTTAAAGTCTGTATACCAGAACTCATGGAACACCTCTTGTAGTTTAAAATGTCTTAAACAATGCAAGCTGTAAAATCTAAAAAGTACCTTCATGTTTTTTTTGGTGAGAAAGGTTTGAAAAAGAAACCTTGTAAGTAATGGGATCTGTAAGGTAACTTGGTATGCACATGGGTGAATGGTCTACTTCTGATCCACTCACGTCTGTTGGCACTTCATGGTGGCGAGGAGAAGGCAAAGGCGACAGGCGGCTGTTTTGTTGGACCCGACTGTTGTGTTGAACCCGACTGTGTTTCCTGCCACACAGGATGTTAAAGGTCAGTGTTATAAACTCAGAGCGACCTCGCACAACACAAAATGTCAATCATGTCTGCAGCCTGTTTTACCTTTCAAAGGGGATCTTTTTAAACTCAGACTCCCTCACATAATCAATCACCTGCTTCTGTGTGCGCCCGCTGCAGGGAACAGGAGAGATAATAATGAGCTATTCTGGGAGCGCTGTGGTGGACTGTTAAGTGACGGAGGAGAAACTGCTGTTTGACAGATAGCTGACTCTCTCTCTACCTGAATCTGAAGGAGGAGCCTCGGGTGAAGAGCACAGGCTTGGGCTTGGCCTTAGGCTCCTCAAAGAGGCGGAAGAAAGCGTGGTATTCCACACAGATCTTCCAGAAGATTTTACAGCAGTCTCTGCTGCCCATCAGGAACTCCAGAGTGTCCTGATATGAACTCTGAGGGGGGGGGGGCATAAACACATGACTTAAAACATCAAACACTGTATTAGGATTTAGTATTTATTTATTTGAAGCCTCCATCTAAATAATGCTTAATTATCATCAAATTAAAAAACATCAACTGAAGAGTTTTGTATTTCAAACAGTCTGAATCAAGAACATAACTTACATTTAGATCTGGCCTCAGCTTGATCAGGAAACGCTTCCTTTTGAAGCTCAGTTTACGCACTTTAGACCAGTTGAAGGCGTTAATCCGTGTGTGTCCCTGCAGTGAGGACAAACACTTTTAACATCAACAATCATTTCCATTGAGGTGAAGCTGACACACAAGTAACTGTTTTTAAAAACACAACAGTTTAGCTACTGCCTCCTGTGACTGACCTGAAAGACCAGGACACCAGTGTGACCCACGGCTAAGCTCAGCCTCGTGCCTTCACGATCCTTGGCAGGGTGAAGACGAATCCCGTACATCTCCAACCTGCGCGCCACTTCTAACAGCTGATAGTCGGATTCAGCTGGCGTTTGACCTCTAACAACACAAAACAAGAGAGACTCAAGTTTAAGAAGAAGCATTTGAGATATTCTCCTTTTTCAAGTTTGACAAAAAAGATCAAAACAAAGAAGGAATTCATGCTTAATGTAGGAGAGTTGTCTGTTGATGAGTCGAGGACTAACATGACTGTGCCGTTTACTTTCAGTGTTGTCCAAAAACGATTAAGGACAAACAAAGTGCTGCACTGGATGGCAGTTCAGTTCATGGCCTGTGGACACAGCCACTGTGCTTCATTTGAGTTAATCCCATATAGATCATCCTGCTGCTGTAAATACTCCCCTAAGCAACAAATGTGTCGTAATCTGTGGATGGAAATAGCCCTCAACAAATGCACCATTGAATTATGCTTAGATCACATTTGCTTTAACATACAGAGCCCAGTGGGAACACGGTAGTTAAATTTGAATGTGTTTTTTTATTGTTTAGAAATGACCGGGCTTTGGACTGAGAACCACAGAAAGGACAGAGGAGTCAGGAAGTAAGAGTGATAGATTTTTTATAATAATAGAAGAGAATAACCTTTTTCTTATTCTTTAAATAAACCTATTTTAAAAGTGTTGAGGGCTAATCTTACCTCTGGGTTTAAACACTTCGACTTTACAATTAAAAAACTCAAGCATTCATTATCCTTTAAGCATATTTTTTGGACAAATACATTCAATCCTGGCTTATCATCGCGCTGTGTGTCCCACTAATTAAGGTGAAAGAGCGAGTCTGAGTGGATCCACGTTTCTAATGTTTATCCAAGTCTTTTTGGAGCAGTGCTGGAAGGTTGGGGAGGGGTTGCAAATGTTAACTAACTTTCCTAATTCTTATCAGTGGATAAGCCGTCCAGTTTCCTGTGTGTGGTTTTTTGATAGGAGACTTGCCTCAGCGTGGCATCCCGCCAGAAGAACTGCAGTTACAGTTATCAACACAGAGAGCCTTTAGAGAGCAGAGAGCAAGTCAACTAGAGCAGGAGATTTAATGGAACTCTGTTTTTCTGTAACAAATGCCCACTATGTGGCAACCTCTGGGAGAGCCCATTGACATTTGTGAGCTGATTGGGACATTTTGAGGGGGCGGGTTGGAGGATATTTGAAAAATCATCCAGTAATATACTCTTAAGACACTACAGTGTGTTTTTAACCTACAAACCAGACTTACAACATCTGTGAGAGTATAGGTTACAGGGGGATTTCCGTGTAGTATGTTGTGGATGGAGTACACACTCATAATCACTTCTGGCCAGAAGCTGTAAAAACAACTTACAAAAGGCAAGCTTTTCTAAGTTGATGCATGATAACAGAAAACAGAGCACAGCTGAGAAAGAAACCCATTCACTCCACGGCTGTTTTTCCTGAAGGTGTCACCTGTGTAATAAAACTTCACAGCAGGACACACAAAAGGTTCTGAAACAACCTTTCCTGTTCACCGGGTGACGAGAATAATTGCTCTTCAGTCACAGCTACAGGGACTTTATGATCAGAGGAAACATGGACTGAATCGAAGGAACGTGTCATTTTTTAGACCGCGCAAACAAGAACTCACATATTCTTCGAGTGGAACTCCATGATCTTGTCGATCAGGGGCATTTGATCGGGGATGTAGTTGTTGTTAAGGAGGTGTGACCGGCAGAGGCTCTCCTCAAAGTCCCCGATCTCCGCTAAGAAAATGGAAATAAAAAGAAAAAAAAGAGGACAACAATCGCTTGTTATTGTAGAAGTATTTGGTATGAAAGTAAGAAAAGTGACTGAATGTGACAAATCACACAGAGGGGAACACACAGTGGCTCATGAATGTCTGGTTTCCTGCACAGCTCCATGAATGAACACTTTCTCTGAAGCAGTCCTGCAATATTATTGCTGCTTCTGACTAAAAAGGTAACCACAGCAACCCCGGGATAATTAAAAAAAAAAACCACACATATAGGCATACTCATGGCTGAGAAGTAATAACAGTATACTTCCTGTAGAGACACATTCATAAGCAGTCTCTGTACAAAAAGGCTGCAGGATGAAGTAAAAAAAATCAAGTCTTACTGAGGCTAAAGCTTTCAAAATAACACTAAATATATAGTATAGTATAGTATATATATATATATATATATATATATATATATATACACCCTATAACTAGCAAAGCAAGAAATATGCAACAAGGAATTAAAAATGAATAACATAAGTCAATAAATGTACAATATATACAATGTAAATGATATTATTCCTTTATGATCTTCAACATAAACAATGTACTAAAACATGTTTTGATGGTGAGCTCGGTGTGATAAACACACACAGAGTTTTTTTCAAAGACAACTATCCGATCAGCCAACTCTTTGGTCTCTCAAGCTGAATGAGCAAACAGCCATGAGGAACTCACACTGGATAATATGGGAGACCATCAGTGCGGCACTGCTGTCGTTGCAGGTCAGACGTCCACAGGAAACATCCTGTTTGATCTGCAGGGCGAACAGGTACCTGGACACAAACACAAACAGGTTTCACACATCAAATAAGAGAAAGTGTGGTGGTGGTTTCCAGCACTGGAGCGAGATCAAATACCAATACCTTTAAGAATTCAAACATGACATTCGAGGGAGCTGCAGTAATTCCAGTTCTGATTGAATACAATGTACAGTTGCTCTATTAGTTTCTCCTAAGGCGCTGGCGTAGCTGCCAGTTTTGGATTTGTTTCAAACTTTGCCCAGATTGAGCAGCACTATATGCAACCACATTCTGATTAGTGTCATTTATGCAAATATTTCATTTGTGTTTCAGAGGTGAGTTGCTTTACATGTGCAGACTTTATGTGCATCTCTCTTTTTCATTCCGTCTGTTAATACTGCACACAGTGTAGCAACCACATTGTAAAAAAAACAAAAACATCTGAAGTATGTGTGAGTCCTCAGCCAAGAACAACAGCACACACACACACACACAGGTGTGTCAGACAGATATTGTTCTCTGCATGCACAATATTTCTCCGCTCTGACAGTGAAAACATGCAAGCAGCTCCACAACATGGAAACAGGAAGCAGAAAATCATTAGCTTCACGCTAATCTCCTCAGGCCTAAATCAGAAACATGGCAGCCATGACATGTAAATTGCAAAGCAGTGAGGGGAATAAATCTTTTGGGAACAGAGGAGCATGTTTCATATTTGCCTTTTACATTCACATCAAATATACAAAATGACACCTGGAAAACATACATGATTCCCATAGTCCACTGCACAGCTCCTACATTGAACCTTTTGAGCATTTTATGTTTTTTTATTTTTTATTTTTTATATTTTACATTTTTAAATTCTATTTTATATATTGTAATATCTTCTTAAACTGTATTATTTAAGTTGTTGCCAGTTCTGCTTTATTTCCTTCTTAACTGTTTAGCACCAATACACCAAGTCAAATTCCTTTCTATGTGTAAATGTACTTGGCAATAAACCCCGATTCTGATTCTGATTCTGATTCTGAAAATGAGATGACTGTAAAGTTTCTGTGGAGAGCTGTTGACCTTGTTAACTCCTCCAGGAGCTGAGCGTGATCCGGAGGGAAGAACTTCACAGCGAACCTCAGGATTGTGTGCTTCGGCCCTGTGAGGGATACATGATTAATGACACAATAAACACTCAGTTGCCAGTTTATCAGGTAGAGCTAGATGAGATGGGAGCAGTCTTAGAAAAACAAACACTCCTCGAGAGCTCGCATCCTTACATGACAACCAAAAACCTCAGGCTAACAATAAAGCTGGATCAACTTCTCCACATGTGGGCCCAGAGAAAAACTAAACATGAGAACCTTCATGAATGTAAGACAAATGTTGCATTAACTCACTTATTTCTTGCTAGGTTTAACAAATGAACTGAACACTAGCTACATAGATTCCTCCTTTTTTATTGGATAGGTTGCATTAAAAAACCATACAGCACAAAGCCCATCACCTCCATGGAGGGATTTAAACTCAAGTCATACCTAACCTTTATCAATGTAAAAGATATTTTAGCTTAATTAACGAACAGAGAAAAAGATATTGAGCCATTTGGAAACACTTACGTCGCAGCTGCTTGATAATGGGCTTGATATGGTCTAACCAAACCTGTAATATAACAGATTACAAACATGAATTGAGATTTAGTTATACATTAAAAAAAAGGAGCTTCATTTTAAATAATTTTGTTCATAACTTACAATCATCTTTTGCTGGTTCTGAAACTCCAGACCGAAGTAGTCGCCCTCGATGAGGTTCATGTGAGAGCACACCAGGTCAAACAGCACCTTGCCTGAGGCTTTTTGCTGTGAACAAGAGGAGAAGAAAACAACAAAGAACTCTGGTTAAAATAACACTCAGTTTTTTAGGGTCATGTTTCCTCTGAAGTCTTGTTGTCAGCCGTTTTCTATTATTTACAAGATTTGGACACATTAAAAAAAAGCTTTAAGTAACACAAAAAGGCTGCTGCGAAGAATGGCGACTCATCTGGAAGTTTAATTCCCCTAAATAGATGACAACTCTGTCTAAATTCCTTGGCTAGCCTCCCTCCTTCCATCTATCCCTGCTTTCAAAAAGCTCAGTCGGCTCCAGGAATCTTTTGCAGCTACAGGGGTCTGGACCTCGTCTTTGATCTGTGTTTTCAGTGTCATTGCTGTCGCTGATGGTGGACCAGCGGTCTTTGAGGCTGATACAGAATCAGGATGCGATAAAGACTCTCTCCACACATACAGTACACACAAACACTTTGAAGACTGACAGTGATGACAGAAAAAGGAAAAAATCCACCCCAACTCTGGATGGAGAGAAACTTCCCATGGAAGGTCAAATAAATGTCAGGGATTTCCACGGAAACACTGCTGCGGTTACAGGCGCCCCAAGGAGACACAGAGCTCTGTTAGGCACACAGCAAGACACTTTCTGCATGGCTGAATCCTCGTGACTGGTTTGCAGCAGTGCGAAGCTTATCACAGCTTCAGAGTGAAAGTGTTTATGGTAGCGGTTAGGGATTCAGAATTGCATGTGAGTACGTTTCAAAGAAGAAGACTCCCCCCACCTCTTTTACATAAAAGGACAGTGAGATGCAAAGGCGAACACAACTACAAGAATTACAGTTGAACTGGGCTGACATTGTCGCCTCATCTGACATGAAAGGGGGGTTTGCCTGCCTGTAAATCCATGCAGTGTTTTAAAAAGCAAAGCATGACACCGACTATGTTCCTTTTAATGCTTGGAGAGTAAAAACTTAAGCTCCACCAGCTTAGTGAGAGGGTTTACACTTCCCCAACCAAATCCAAATCTTCCCCAAACAAGTCCCCCCCAAATCCTCGTCACTCCTCCCTGTGTGTGTGTCCTTCCTGTGTGTAGAACAGCTATCTCTCTCCAGGCTGCCTCATGCAGAGCATAGGGCATCCCACCACTGAGGACCAGCTGTTTCCATATGGCGTGGGTGCTGAATAAGAAGGCTGGAGGGAAAGAGGCTTCATATACACACATAGCTTTCTAATTGACCGATTTAACCAACAGGGGATGTAACTCCTAAATGAGTGTGTATGTTGTGTTTGGTGCACTGATCTGGACAGATTCTTCCCGTACAGAGCTGAATACAGTGAGGGCCGAGGAGTGTTTCTGGGGCGCTCTCTCATATCCAGACTTATAAATCTGCTGTCAGAGTAAAGTGACCACGAGCCAAGCAGAGATGGGTTAGGCAGAGGCTGATTGGAGCAAAGGCACAGCTTGATTAAATGCAGCTGTTGCAGACTGGAGTTATGGTGCTGCTATTCAACACTGCGGCAGCCCGCCACGCAAAGGGCGCTGTCCTTAATGAAGCACAACTCTCAACAGATTGAGTGCTGACGTGATGGAGGCCCTCAAAGGACACTATGTGACTCTGTTGTAATAAAGTCTTCAGAGGCTTTATAGTGAAGACAATGCAATGGAACCTTAAATAACGAGTCCTTTTCAAAGCCTCAAACAGTTTACATGAAATAAGAAAAATGCATTTATGGTATTAAAGCTCAGCATCTCATCTAGCACCCACAAAAAGTAAAAAATAAGGGGAGACAACTGGAAGTAAACCCAGTTCAACCGTTCATTTTGCAGTTCAAAACATTTCTAATGAGCTGTGTGGGTGTGGCAGAACAAGTTTTGATTGGCATCTTCCTGGTTCTGCACAGAGCAACAACAATGTGATAACAGCGTTGTACAATCCTGGCCAACATTCTTTAGGTCATTTGAATCAGAATCAAAGGAGGAAGCAGAAATCTGCCACCTGAAACATTTTTTTAGGGTCCGAGCACCGACCTTGCAGCGAGGACCCTACTGAAACTGAAGGAGTAATTATTCTCCCACACCATAATGAAACTGAAGGAGTTATTATTCTCCCACGCCATAATGAAACTGAAGGAGTTATTATTCTCCCACGCCACAATGAATCGCTTATTTGCCACTCATATGCAGCATGATACGGCACATGATTAGACCAGAACGGCATATGCCAAAACCTTAATGACATCATTTCATATATGGATTGAATTTATAATTCTTAAAATGTTAACTCATATGTACAGATTCAATAATGAGAAGGTTATGGTGGAGTTATTTCAAGTATAATGAGGACACTCGGCATTATGCAACACTCCCATGTGAAACCCTCCAAACAAGTATGAGAAATCAAACAACTATGTAACTGTGAAACATCTCATTCCAAAACTATGGGAATTAATTTGCTGATATAACAGCTTTGCTCTTCTTGGAAGGCTTTCCATGAGATTTTGGGATCAGGCTGCAGGGATTTAACTCCCATTCAGACACAAGAGCATTAGCGATGTGGTGTGATAAGACCTGGCTCACATTTGGCCTTCTGGTTCTTCTAAAAGGTGTTGGATGGAGCCAGGATCAGGGCCTTGAGCAGGCGGGTTAGGAGAAAGGAGAGAACCCAACCATGACACAGTTGACGACACTCTTGGCAATATTATGATAATTTCCACCAGCACAAGTCAAACCAGAACAAATCCAAAATGACACATTAGTAAGTGGTCTGTGGTGCACAGAATGGTGATATCAGCACTGACACATTTCATCTATACTGCAGATATTTTGACTTACTCATAGCAGTAAGAACATCAGTAATCATATGTGTTGTATCCATAGTAACAGATCCATAATGTCAGACTACAAAAAGGCAAAAAAACAAACCTGTTAATAGGTTGATATTGACCATGTAAAATTTGAACTGTAATCAGTGCTAGTTTAGCACATTCAAATGCTCACATTTACTAAAACGCATCAAGCAAAAAAAGGGTAATTTTTATGTATTGAATCCTGCAAGCTCAGATTTGGGGGGACTTTGGGGCAGCTATAAAGATGAAATGTTTCATGCCCCTCTCTGCCAGCTCTGTTTTTGGTCCCTAACAACTCATGGTGAAAATATCTGGTTCTAGAAGAGCTAAATCTTCGACTGTATAAGAGGATCATTGTCTGGCAGTGTTGTAGTGGTGAGCATCTTGTATGCAGCTGGGTTTTAGACCTCATGCATTGAAAACACCTGTCTACTGCAGCTGATACGTCAGACCACATTTCAGGCCAAACAGCCAGCAATCAAAAAAAGTCTCAAAAGTATTGTTTAATCAAATCAACATCCCAGATAAATTTTATGGCTAAATACAGTTTACGTCATCATTGATGCTAGTTGTTTAACATTATCATTCATTTTTGCTTTTAATATCTACAGTAAGACTTTTTGTTTTCACATTTTTCCAGAAGGCTCTTCAATAAACTTCAAGAATTAGTTATTAAAAATGTCAAGTTTCCACCAAAACAATGGTAAACAAATATTACAAAAGCTGATGCTGTTTAATCAGCGGGTGGAGAATTATTTCCCTCTCCCTCTGCACATGCCTCGTGGTCTCTCCCCTTGCAGAAAGGTTACAGAAAAAAAACCACATTCAGCAGCTCACATTTCTTTCATCATAGGGGACTCCAAGAAAATGTCACCAATCTCCATGTTTATGACCTCTGTCCATAAAAGCACTGGCACAAGTTTACACAGTAGCAGCCAAGTCTTGAGTGAGTCAATTCATCCTGATTCAGCGTTCTCAGTCCCAGCAGGTCGGGTCTGTCTGGGTTCATTAGGTCTGAACATGGGGCTTGTAGGATGCTGCTACTGTTTACATGTGTATGAGAGATAGCATCTCGCATCGCTACACTGACCTCCACAATGCTCCAGCTGACAGAGACGAGCTAAATAAAGATGACAGCTATGTCTGCACACATGTCCGCCCGAGCTTTCCACTCCAGGGTACACAGAAAAGCCCCCCACACCCATCCCACTCAACCCCCATCTCTTGTTAGTAAGCTCCTGTCAGCTAAAACAACAGAAAGGTCAGGTGTAAAGTAGCTTTGTGTTCCCTCTTCTGTTCCCCTCCAGGAGATTTTTGGTATGGTCCACTTCACTTGCAATAAGCCAGGCTGGGCTGTGCTCACCAAGCTTCTCCTGGGGGAGTGTTCCTGGGTGGGTGGCACGGGTGGTGAACAGACTGCCAATACCTTTAGGCTCCAGAGAGGCAGGAAGAACAAAGGGGATCGTGGCTGGTTGGATATGGGAGTTGTGTTGATGGTGATTTTTCCAAAACCTAGCAGTCAGCCATATATGGCAGGTATAAAAAAATTGATTTAATTTGGCCTGTCTTCCGTCTTTGGCCAGGCTATTCGAGGGGCCCCTGCAGGTCTGATATGGTCTGAGGTCATATATAGCTTGACAGATAAAGGAGCAGTCATCTCTCAGCAGGTTTTTTTTTTATTTGTGACATTTAACAACATTGCAGGAGGCTGATTGAGGTCAAAGATGAAGGAGGCAGTTGGAGTTAAAGAATGAAAGAAGCAAATGCAGGAGAAGATGAAGGTCACTATGGAGACCATCTCCATGGCTCATCTGATTAAAAGGAAAAAAAAGCCAAATGTGAAAATGCTGATATTTTAGACTCTGGATACAAAAAATAAAAAACAGACTTCAGGAGAGAAAAGTAAGAAATACTAGTTTTCACACATGGTAGTGAAAGAAACGGCCAGAAATGATTTGGGATACTTTTAGTGAACTGTTGCTCTTCAGATAACACTCCTCAGGGCTGGGCTGAAATGGAAACTTCCAGTAGCAGGCAGATACATCCCCAAAACTCAATCCTCCTGTTATCGAAAACATATGTGAGGGCTGCACTGCCTTCCTGTCCCATCCTCCCTCGTGCTGTGGCTCAAAAGTAGCAAAAAAAGATAACAGTAATTTAAAGCACTTAGGAGAACATGTCGGCTT